TAATGCAGAATAGCAGTTTATTGAGATCATAACTACGTACTCAAATAGAAATTTCTTAAATTTGCAATACTCCGTAAGTTATGAATTATTTACTGTAATTACCCTCCTAAAGTTGTAATTTACGAAGTATTCTAGAGTTTGATACGGTAAGCGCTATTTATGTAAGAATAGAAATTTCTAGACTATCGATTACATTGCAGATAATTAAATAATGTAGTCTTTACAAAGTCGACTGCTGCCAATGTGAGAGACCGCAGAATAATATATTATAATAAGAAAGTAAGATAAGATAATTGATTTTGCTAATACAAACACCGAGCTGTAGCTGTTAAGGCATGAGGAACTTATCGAATATTAATTCAACTCGTGGTTGAATGTGTATTAGGTAACATAGTAATTATCAAAAGTTTACTAAATTAATGAGGTCATCCAGACTGCTAAGCGCTATATACAGTACGCGTACACTGTATAGGGAGATAGCTATATTTATCCATGGATAAAAGTAGAATATTAATATGACGTTCCTTACGGGTAATTTATACATAAATCCTAAATATTTATCACATAGATATCATATTCTTAGTTTTAGGCATCATAAATACAGTACTACAGTATACTTCTATTAATAGTAAGGTAATAATGATTTTAGCTACGATACTTCAAGCGTTCTTACAAGATCGATTACATGAAGACTTTATAAGCTCGCTTTAATAAGAAATTGTTTCTGTAGTCAAACTATATTCTATGTTCTTGTAGTAGCGTAACAAATTATTATAACTATAAGTTAATTGTTATAGTTAATATACTTGTCAGTACTGGTAGCTTACTTGTGTTAAATCTGGTCAGCCTACATGTAATCTACAGTAACTACATTTAGTCTTATACGATGTATACAGTACTGTATATACTAAAGATTCTATTTAATCGTTAAAATGCCTTGTGTTAAATATCTGATAGCTGTTAAATCTTCTTTATCAATACAATATATCGAAAGCTCTATCATAATTTTAGAGCTTATTTGTATATATGTTACGGTAAAAGTGAGCATTAGGCGAATGCGCGCCTTCGACGTAAGGTGCGCGCATTCTCCATAACCATGGTAAATGCGCGCTTTAGCTGGAAATGTGCACTTTCTCCAACATATTGGTTAATGCGCGCTTTCTGCAGATAAAGCGCGCCTTCGCCAATATTATGGCCAAAGCGCGCATTACATGAAATAATGCGCACTTTCACCTATTATTCTGGTAAAAGCGTGCATTACCCGAAATATTTGCGCACTTTCACTTATATACGATAATGTAAAATAATGTAATCAAGATTTAATCGGGTATTATCGTGTTAGCGAAGGAACTAAAGTATGTGTAGTGTATTTACATAATCTTGATACACATGAAAGCAGTAAGGTACAATCTATTACTCTGTAGTATACAAAACGGGTATGAAGAACTGTATGTAAGAAAAGAATCATAAATAAGCTTGTAGGCTTTTAAGTATCGATCAACATGATATATTTACAATGATGCAAAATGAGCTATGACGTCGATAATACTACGACTTCTTATATATTTTAGTAAGAGTTTTGGCTACATTACAAAAAAGCTATATTTCGAACTTGGTCACTTTGTAAGGAATAGCATACGTTAACGTCAATATTAATCATAAGTATATTACCTAAAGTAATGAATGAGCGTATAGCAGACAGTTAACTTGCTGCTTTGTTTGTAATTAGGTTTACGCGGAATGAAGAAATAATTTTACATGTGAAATAGGAATAGCAGTTTACTGAAATCTTAACTACGAACACAAATAAAAATTCCTCAAATTTGCATCACTTTCTTAGTTATTAAATACTTACTGTAATTACCCTGCTAAAGTTGTGATGTAGGGACATAGATATACAAAAAAGTCGAGTTGCCTTAGATAAACCGGATAATTAGCTGTATACAACAGAGATAGGAGTATGTAATTACAATTTATGTGGAATATGTACATACGGTACTGACGTAAGTTTAGATGCTGTTATAGATCTTCTGTTCCTAGTGATATACGTAATACGATATTGCGATGCGATATAACTGTATGCTATTGTACGAGCTGTTCATAACTATTTCAATACAATTTGAGATGTTATTATGAGAAGTAGTATAAAGGTATACGGTCTGTGTTAGGCCTAGAGTAGATCAGTAACGATATACAGATACTTAAGAAAATGACCACATGTAAGGGAATACGTTTATTCTTTTCTTACTCTCTGTAAGGGCTACGAGCCGTATACGCATAGTCGTAAATATAAACCCATTGCACTTTCCATCGTCAAACTATTTTCTATGCTGTTGTAGTGACGTAGTAAACTGTTATAAATACAAGTCAATTATTGTGTTTTGTGTGTAGTACGGTTGTTGCCGGTATCGGCAGCTTACTTGTGTTACATCAGGTCAGCTTACACGCAATCTATAGTAAGCACATTGAATCTTACGCGATATATGCAATATGTAATCAAAATTCTATTTAATCGTTAAAATGTCTTTTGTTAAATCTCTGATAGCTAGTAAATCTTCTTTTATCAATACATCGAAGTTTTCATCACAGTTCTAGAGCTTATTTGTATGAAATAATGTGGAATACTGTGATTAAGATTAATCAGGTATTATCGTATTCTGGAAGTATAGTAATTACAATATATATAGAATTTGTTACATAGTCTAGATTTTAATGAAAGCAGTTACTATCATTGGCTTACTACAACGTCCTGGTACCGCAGCGATGTCGTCAAGGGCAATATCGCCATTGGAATATTTACCTTTGACTCCCACAAATTTGATCTAGAAGGTTTGTAGTAATAATGATAAAGTTAAAGGTAATTTACTCAATACATTTATAATAACATAGCTTGATTGTGTAATAGTTTAAAATATTACAATACATGCTAAGTTTTCTTTTACTAATTTATGTATAGTGAATAAGAAAGTATAATATTTCACTGTACCTTATTGAAACCGGAAGAGATATCTAGTTTAACCGGATACCAAACGCTTTCACTATTGCCGGAGATATTATATATTACGTTAAAATAATCGTAAACAATGAAAGGACCAATTGGTTTTCCATTCCCATTATACCAAAAAGACAGGCAAAAGGCACTATCTGAATAGAATACAGGGCTTTCAACGATAATACTACTTCCTTCAGACTTTATGGATGTTTTCGCGTAAAGGTAATAGCCTATAGATAGAGAAATAGTCACTATAGTATTGTCCGTAAATAGTAAATGATTTATGAGTAAAATTACCGTATAATGTTAAGATCAGGAGATATAGATATATTTCTCTGCCCTGATATTTTTGTAAGCGTTTACACTTTAAGTTACTGTAAATGAGATTATTATGATTTCAATGTTTATACGAATCTAAACAAAAATTAAGAAGGCTTGACTACAGAGAAGAGCTTAAGAGTGATTAATTTAATGTTAATGTACGAGTCTATAATTTTAACCGTACTACGTGTACGTGTATAACCTGATACGTTTTGGTATGTATGATCGACGCTTGGTAGAGCAAGGCGACTTGGCGATGGGCCGCTATGTCTTCTCCACTCGTCGGTAGCTCCAATTGGCTTTTTCCAGTTACAAAATCCAGACTCGAAAGTACAACCTAAGCTACCCATACCGGCTGGAAATGTTGTAAGAGTATAGTTCAAAGTATTTATTTGTAATTTAGTTATTGATAAATTACTTCAGAAGATCTTAAATACTGTATCCACATATAGTCAGTGTATTAAAAGAAAATAATCGATAGTCTTGTAAATTTACAGTAAGTCAAACAAGTAGAAGCAGTTATCAGTATGATTATAGATTATGATAATTGGATTAGTTTAGAAATTATGAAATGTTACCTGAATTTTCAACAGCTGGCCAGTTAATTAGCGTGTTTGGTAGAAAAAATGCAAACAGTAAATGGTTAAAGAGTTAAACGAAGTTAATCGGATTAACTATAGCTTATGATCTAGTTGTCATTATCAAAATCATTACTTTTGTGTCAACCGTTACAGTATTGCGTTTTGTTATTCAATAACTTAGTAGTTACTAACAGTTTAGGCATAATTCAAAGCTATTTCATTAGAAAATAATAGTTATTATTATTATTATTATTATTATATGGGGAAACGTTTACGTAAAATTATCGTATTGAAAATTATTGTTAAGTTATTCTCATGTTTTCATTTTGGAGTTACAATTTTTTAAGATTAGGGCTTAGATAACACTGTTAGCGCAATACATTCTTGTCTTACGTTACTCGTCATAAGCTTAGTCATCTCATTGATTGATGTGATAAGGCGCTTGTTGCTATTCATGGTATGCTGTTATAGAAGGTTATTACTGTTGTTTCCTACTTATGACGGTACTAATATCTATAATAAATTTCAGTTCAGTACTCAGGCTCTAGTGGACTCTTATAATCGTGTTACAAGAAAATCTTACAAAAAGAAAGATCGTAACAGTTAATCAGCTTTTATTCCTTATAATTAAAGTGTTTTACTGATAAGATTACATATATGCTAAAAAATAGCCATTACAGTTTATTAATAATATAATAAAGCACTAGTTAAGTCGATAGAAGTAAGCCAGTTTCGCTATCATATCTAAAAGTTTCGTCTTTCGCCATTACCTGCGCATTCGACCGATGCAATATTTTGAGAAGGGCAACTTTGGTGATTACTTATATTGTATCTGCTTTGCTGCAAGGATATTTCGTTACTACTGCACCTTAAATTGATCAAGTAGTTGCTTGTATTAGAAGGACTGCTACTATGACTGCAAAAAACGCTGACGGGATACATTGGTATAATCAAGCTATCTGCATAAAACTATCGCTTCCTGCCAACCGAAGTTTCAGTAGCAAACTGCTATCCATTGGTTACTTAAGAGAACTTGAACATTACCGCTATTATGCTGCCCATTGACTAAACGTACAAGCAATGACCTGTTGATTTCTATAATGGTAATAAAAGCTCTCATTTCAGATCATTTGCAAATCCTGTATGGCCGCTATCGTAGGTATCAATGACATGTCCAGTATAAAACTACAAAAATGTACATTTAATTTCGAGCTTAGGTGTAGGAACGCCGGAAGCTTAAGATTTCAACTGTTATATCGTATTTGAGTGTACGAGTCTATATACTGTATACTCGTATATACAGTATATGTTGCATGTGAAATAGATGTGGAGGATTATGAATATTGGTTGAACTCGAATGTATGGTTGCTTGAATACTTCCATGCTTGTTACTACAGTAGGTTGGCAGTTTCTGTAGGATATACAGTCTTTGACCGAAGTTATTACTATACATACTCACACATACAAATAAGATGAGCCGTTTCACATTACTGTATTACAAATTTCTCACTAACTCGACAGCTATATTGTGCTATAGTCGCATGCAATTCGTCAAGATTCTGTCTGTCCACTTTATCGAGGCCATAGAGGTATACGGCCGAATATGTGCCGAAAAAACAGCGCTCTCTCTAAGTGCAGTACTGTTTACAAATAATGTAAAATAAAACATACAGTACTGTACATAGTAACAGAGATACTAACAGTACGACACACGTACAATCGCATTAATGTGGTTTGATAGGACAGGATAGTCCTATTATTATTATTATTATTTTAAATTAGGATTGTACTGTAATAATAGATTAAAGAAAACATCAAGTGCCTTTGCTCAAGATTGTAAGGATCTGCTTACGTAAAATTTTAGCCAAATTTAAAGTAATTCCCAGGTAAACTTAAAGATCTAATTAAAGGGAATTTGCCGCGCCCATGAAATATTTTAGTGATCTATTTTGTAAAAATGGACCCTCAGCTGGGTGTTAGTCATGGAGTTGGAAGAGGAAAGTCTTCTCTTCTAACTATCAGTTCTAAGGTGCAGCATTGGTATTATGTTATGAGACTGCTTAGTTGCTACGATGCGGTTTTGATCTCATAAAGGGACTTCTTATTGGAGAATTTCTCTTAGAAGTCGCCGCTTTAGCCAGTCGGTGTTAGGATTAACATTACCGAATATTGTTGAATGCATTTTACTTTTTAAGCGCAAAATTCTCTCATTATATTAGCCTTAAACTTAACCAACTACTGTACTGTACAGTATATTTGGCCATACTATACTCTCATTTATTGCGCGTATCTGTATAGTATGGCCGCACTGTACCGCTAATATCAAGTGTCTACTCGAGTATTTTTAAGATCGATCGCCTCTAGGAAATGCGCATTGTTAGTTTTCGGTTGACAAATCTAAAGTACAAATGAAGAATCTTTCTAGATTTGATTGCTGTCGAGTGTCAGTAGTTAGTGTTAACGAGCAAGGAACCGCAGCTGGAGTACCTGTAGCAGAACGGCCAGATAGCGAGCCTCTGCAGATTGTAAAAGACACAGCAAAAATGCTGCACTAATTATTTTCGTGCAATATGAACACTTACAAAATTCACAGAAATCACCATCGTGTCCTAGCGGGCATTGACATAGGAAATGATAACTGTTTCCAATACATGTTGCGTTACTTGAGTAAGGGTTGGAATTGCAAGTATTATTACTTGACGCCAAAACTATGAAAGATAAAAACTACGTAAAATGACGGCCCTTAAAAATAGACTGTACTTTAAAATAATCTTTCGATGGTAATAATTACAATAAAGACTTCTTTCATGAAGTACTTTTTGCAAATGGGCCGATTGTCTATACAGCTACGTTTAAATATACTGTACTTATACAGTACTAGTATATTGCATATCAATAGTTAGAAAAAGGCTATATGTCTATTTATAACATTTTAACAACCAGATTAAAAACTTCTAAATAGAATCAACTATGTTTTAGTATAATTTGATGCCATTCATGTATAAACTAAGTACTTTTACCTAGTGGGGCTAGTTGTGATTCGAATGTTATGATCTAAATTAAAATTAAGAGTGTTAATAATTAGAAACAGGTCTTAGAAATTTTATTCATTTAATTGACTCCGAAAAAATACTGCAATTTGATGTTGAACATTTGCATCTTTGCAATTAAAATTGTTCGTTAAATTAGCGCGACACATTTCTATAAATGGAAGCGTGAAAAATTTTTGCAATGAAATCTTGTGATTGTCTACTCACTTGTAATTCTTTTAGTTAGTTAAAAATCAGCTGATAGGTAACAACTTCGCTACTTATAAGTTCGCCATTTTCTGTACGACATACATTAAAATTATCTATCTGATTTGACTCTAGTTTAAAAGTAGTTTATAGTTTTAGTAAGATAGCTACCGTATTGCGTGTAAGTTGCTATTCATACTTATTTTATGCTTAGTCTTACGTTAACATTGCATAAGAATTTTACATTGTACTTAATGCGGTAAAATATTTAAGTGATATTTTGTAAAATGACGTGACAGTTCCTGTTAAAAGATTACCATAAATTTCAAGATATTAATCTGATACTGGCTTAATGGCGTCATCACTCTTACGCGTGTAGGTATGCACTAGTTGCTTTAGATTACAGCATGTACAGTATCTTTCATGTTATTTTTAGACATCTATTAGAATCAAGAAATTGGACGGCCTAACGCTTATCGCAAATTACGCTTTTACGAAAGGATAAAATTTTTGGCATCTGTTTTCAAGATAAATCATTTTCTCCTTATTATGTATGGTAATATTCAATCTTATTTTTAGGTGAGAATCAGTGAAAATAACAATGATCAATATTATTTTTAAATAATTACTGTAAAGTCGTTTTGATAAAATAATCTGTGAACGACTTACCAGCACCATGCTAAAAAGAAGGTAATGTTTTATCTCCATTTTAATCTATATCATTCGGTGAGCTATATAAGGTAGATTTTTTGGACTTTATCTTTCGCGATCTTCCTAATTTTGAATCTTACATCTGTGATTTCGGTCAATATTCGTGAAGGGTTGATTATTTTTAAAATAGGTGCCATTATCATTTCTATGAGACTAACGTAAGAAATACAGCGATAAGTATTTCTGCGATAATTATTACAAGTAATCAAAAATTAAATTACATTTTATGTTGTACTACAGTAAATACTTAGTATCATGCTGTTAACTAAGTGACTGAGTCTAACCTACTCTTTTCATGGTGTCGAAAAATAGAGTTACTAATTTAATTCTAAAAGATTGATAAATTAGGCATCAAAATGATTGTACTGTGTGATGGAACTAGATATATCATTAGAATTAACAAATACCCGTAATAAGAAAAATGGGATATAAGTACACAGATGAAATTATGATAATTCACTAATGGTATAGTAGACACGAATAAATCTTGAATTAGTTAAACAAATCGGATCTCTCTCCCCTCCACCCGACTACTGGCGATACTTCGCGTACGTGTTTAAGTATAACTATAAGATTGGTGGATAAACTATAGACTAGTAATCTACTAAACTGTACTGTACATGTATGGATGATCTTGAAAGTAGTTTAATTCGAAATTGAATCATTGCAGCCAATATTTAATTGATCGAAACAATGATTTCGCGAACAGGGAGTATTAAAATGCCAAGCTAGTAAACAACAGTCCGTGAATCATATTACATATGTTATTATATGTACGGGGACTTTTGGCCTAATTACAACAGGATATAAAATTATTTAAATGACGAATCTTAAATTTAATTTATCCTATCAGTTACCGCACATCATTTAGAATCTAGTAGCATAGATACAAGCTGCACTTATCGCGGTAGATATACAGTAATAGAGCTAACTTTATGAATTTTTCAATATTTGCGATGGGATAAGCTTCACTCTGTCTCTTGTATTCAGTTTTCGATAATGTTCTGATTGACTAA